AAAGAGTTGAAGCTGTACTATATGGATTGAATTTTCCACAATTAAAAAGAAATTCATAGCATTATTGCATTGTCGTCAAGGCAAGTTTGATTATGAATTGTGTGGATCTTGTGTTAGGAAGGATAGAAAGGAGAGTAGAACAAAGAGTGTCAGGAGAGAAAGGAGATAAAACATTTCAAATTTAACTTAGCAATATGCTTACATTTATTTAACATGCCATATTACATGTTGAAAACTTGTGTGGTTGTTGTAACCATTAAAAGAAACAGTGACAGTGTTTTTACTGAGGGTACTGACTTTATCTTTCTTTCTCTTTTGAATCCATAGATTACCAAACTGAAAATAGACAGGAATCCTTTTGCTAAAGGATTTAGAGATCCTGGAAGAAACAGGTAAACAATATAACAGTCACATCTAATATTTATATAACCCTTTTCACAGGTATAACAGCTAAGGAAATTGTGGCTCAGAGACTGAGTCCCTAAATTTTGTAACTAATAAATAGGTAGTAAAAAAGAAACCTGGACGTTTTGTCTTCAAAATCTTGCCTCCTCCCACTCCCTCCCCAACCCACTTTTAAGATATTGCTTATTCTAGATTCTTAGATTTTTATTCAGGGAATAATCATGGGGAATTTTATTCAGAAGTCTATCTATAAAAGAAAAACATTTCAGATATTCACCCCTAAAAACTATAACAAAATAACTCAAAAGCTTACACAAATTATTATTTTCAGGAATTGCATTCTGGACTTGCTAAAGTTTGAATCTCTTTTTCAGAGGTGTATTGGATGGGGTTTTAGAGACCTACCCATGGAGGCCTTCTCTCACTTTGGATTTTAAAACTTTTGGTGCAGACACACCAAGTAAGAAAAGTTTTATTAATTTTTATTTGTAAATGTTAATGAAATAACAAGAGCCAGAACCTCTGTACAAATACTACACAAGTGGATAAGTATATGCCAGAAAATGTGTGTTTAAAATCAAGTGGGTGTAGATTTGTCCTGATGAGGAGGTAAGAAGCAAAAAGGGAGGGTAACTGGCAAGAAGGAAAAGAGCATAAACGTGGTAATGGTGGATTTACTGACTTGTGTCTTCTTGGGTTATCATACATCCTGAGAGCTATAGAAATCACTTGGATTCTTCAGCATCTCACTATCTCATATTCTTTAGGATCTGCCTGTGGTGCAGTAGTGGACTTATTTACAAAAATGTTAGATATTGAAATAAATATTTTATGAGAAATTTTCAGCACATGATAAAAATGACTCCCATTAAATTTCATCATCACTTGACTCTAATTTTCCTTTTGTTGTGACTAGGGAAAATAAATGTTGAAAACAATACTAAGCCATGGCAATTAGTTTAATTGTCATAAGCATTTAAAATATTTGCAAGTTATTTGTTCTCAAGTAGTACATTACATGACTAAATAATAATTTGACAATTCAGGCTTTCTGGTGGAAGAATGCATACCTTCATTTACTCTGATATTTAAGGATAAATAGAAGATCTTTATTCGTGAGCAATATGGAATCATTTTACCCTTTTGTCTTTACTCCATTAAAGTTGTTTGTCTTTAAACATTAATTGAAGGTTACCATCACATTATAGTTAGCTTGAATTTTACATGATACCATAACAACTAATTGAAATGTGAAGAGATCAAGTCTAATCATTTAGTGAAATATTTCACTCAATTGACTGTATTAATTTTGTTTAGAGAGTTGTGTAGAAAAATATGAACACTTATTTGATAGTATCACTTTAATAGAATCTAGGCAGCATGCTTTTAAAATATCCAAGTCAACACATGGCGCACTAATTTAAAAATAATGCTAACCATGATATTAATTGATAATTTAAAATACACAATTTTCTTAATTATTTAAAATGTCCAGAATGCTCTCAAATTGCAAAGAAAAGGGGTGCCAGTATTTTTTAATAACTTTTGGATGTTTAATTATAGAATATATTTGCCACGCTGTTGATAAAGGATTAGCCTATGTCTGTATATAAAAATAGTTAAGAAAAACAGTAGCACCTAAAAAAAAACCCCACAAAATTTGATCAAGTTCAGTCAATAACCAATTTTTTGTAAATTTAAATACTTACAAATATAAGGTGTAAAGTCTAGATTTTCCTGGACCTTATATCTATCCCTAATTTTAGTAGATGCTAGGCAACCATAAAAGATCACCTGGCAACATTGATATGAACACTTTCATTTTTATCCTGGTATTTTTAACCTGCAAAACTGTCTTTTACTCTTGATATAGTACACTATGGAACATTCCCCATCTATGATTTTCATATAAGAAAAAAACTAATATATTTAAATGTTATTTTAATTTATAAGATTACTTTCATATGCACAGATTTTTAATCAGAATGAAGTTTTCTATAAAATCTCATAAAAACTATTTGTTCAATTTAATCAAGTGCTTATTTTAGTAATTTTTTATGGTTAAAAAACAGCTTTTACTTGTAAGATATAATTGGCTCTGGATCATATTTAATTGGGCTTCTTTTGTAATTCACTGAATAAACGTTGTTCAAGTGCCTAGTATAGTTCTAAAGCATAGTGAATGCTCAATGCATGATACATAATAATAATGCCAAAAGTAATAGTGGTAGTAGTAGAGATACCATATTCAACTTTGGTCAGAGGAATGTTCTTTTCCAAAGGACTTAAAATAACTGTGAACTTGCAAGGAAAGCTAATCTAAGAATGAAGCAGGGATAGTTATGGACATGATTACTGATTCAGTAGGAACATTTAGTTCATTGTTCATTGACTCAATTGTCATTCACAGGTGGAAGCAATGGCTCATCTCCAGCGACCTCTAGTGGAGGGGCTCCCTCTCCTTTGAACTCTTTGCTTTCTCCACCTTGCTCCCCTCCAACATTTCACATACCTACAAGCTCCCTTGGAATGCCCTGTCCAGAGGTGTACCTACACAATATCAACCTGCCCCTTTGCTACAAGATTTGCCCAACTAATTTTTGGCAACAGCAGCCTCTTGTCTCGCCTGCTCCTGAAAGGCTAGCAAGCAGCAACAGTTCTCAGTCTTTAGCCCCACTCATGATGGAAGTTCCCATTTTATCTTCCTTGGGGGCCACCAATTCAAAATACGGTTCATCTGAAGACTGCAATGGACAGTGTCAACAAGCATCTAATTCTTCCAGTCAAATGTTGTATGGATTACAGGCACCTGGAAATATTTTATCACCCAACCCCATTGCCCAGGAAGCAATTGGTTGCTCTTTCCATCCTTCCTATGGCTTTTATAGGTACAACTTCTCCATGCCATCTAGACTGGTAAATGCTACCAACCATCTCAAAGTGAATGAAAACAGTCAAGTTTCTTTAATAGAAGGCAAATGCAATCATGCTCGTTGGTATCCAAAAATTAACCATTGCCTTTAATGGAATAATCAAGTTCCTAAAACAATTACATGTAAGCATATATTTTCTTTATTTGTAGCCAAAAAAGGTCAAGAGCTAATGGGCTAAAAAAGTTTCATTATCAGAGGGTATTCCTCTGTTCTGCATTTAAAGTGCCTTTTGATATGTTCCTAAGAAGGCTGATTACAGTAGCCTTAGGCCTCAAAATAAGATACTCAGTAAACATTGTTTGATGAGGTAGGCTACCAGTGAAAAGTGACTTCAGGTGATGAAATCTCTAATTATAGTGAAGTGTGTTTACCACATCAACTGCCTCTTGCATATTGACAATGACCAAAGGAAGGTGGATTTAATTCCTGTGAAGGTAGTGAAACAATTACAGTTTTTATCTATGAATATTGGCTTCATTGTAATTATCTATCTAGTAACTGTAGAAAAAAATTCATTGTTCACTTGCATTATACTTTTATACTCTGCTGTTGAAGGAACTACTAATCTCAATTTTAAGGTACAAATAAAGACATAAACATTCTAATGTTAATATTTGCAGCCTAAGGACCATTTAATCCTGAAGGAACACAAAGATTAAATGAAAAGCAAAGTATTCTAAATAAATTTGATCTTTTATTCTCTTGTATTTTTTGGGTAATTCTCAGGTGATGCTTGTTTGCTTAGTCCTTAACAAACCCGGTATTTTTTGTTTGTTTGTTTGTTTGTTTGTTTGTTTCTTTATGATATGCTGGCCTCTCACTGTTGTGGCCTCTCCCATTGCGGAACACAGGCTCTGGATGCGCAGGCTCAGCGGTCATGGCTCACGGGCCCAGCCGCTCTGCGGCATGTGGGATCCTCCCGG